CGTGTTGTCAACATTCGAGATACGTGTGACGTCTTGCAGGAATGTTTTGGAACCGGAGCAAATCGAAGCGGTACCAGAGCAAATCAAAGCGTTGGAATCGCGCTTCGCGAACCATGATATCCTTGCAAATCTGCCAACAGGCTTTGGAAAGATTTAAATTTATCCAGTGTTTCGTTTGGCAAAGCTTCCCGCCTCCAACGCGACTGCGAGCCACTTTGTGATTTTGCCGCTCAACGGCATCGTCCAAGTCAACAAATAAATATTCACTGAGCTTGGTCTTTCTGCCATCCATTTGAAAGATTGAACCGAACTTTCACTTGAAACTGGACATTCACCTGAAACTTTCTGCTGCTATCGGCGAACATTTCACTGCCGGTAAATTCTCGGTTGAAACTCTGCATTTGAAATTTTTGCAATAACTTTTAGATTTACACGTACAGACCCAGCGAAAATTGTTACAAGATACCCTATTCGCCGTCTTCTTTTTGAAACTTCTTGGACAGTGTCACTGAACGAACACTGAACGAAGATATACTTCTCACGGCATATGTTTGCCTCGCTACTTGAAGAGTAGAGTAGAGAAATTTTATTCAGGATATCTCCCGGGGTTATTGACAACAGGCGANCACTGAACGAAGATATACTTCTCACGGCATATGTTTGCCTCGCTACTTGAAGAGTAGAGTAGAGAAATTTTATTCAGGATATCTCCCGGGGTTATTGACAACAGGCGATAACAAGAGGATGTCAAGATGAGAAATCCTACACCAAAAAATCACTCGGCCGTGAAAGGGCAAACTCTTGGGCTTAGGCGGTAGTCCCTCCTTTCGCATCACGCACGACGGACTAAGCGAAAGAGGGACTACTCATAGTCTAATTTTTGATGGCATGACAGTGAAAACCAGCAATGTACACACAGCCTTATATTGATGGAGTAGTCAAACTCTCCTCAACTACATCAGGCAATGGATGGGTCAGCTTCAGCTAAAGAAGCCACAAGAAAGTAAATGTAATGGAAGGAAGATCACTGATATTATATTGGCAGGGAAAATGGAAAAAAAATTGGAAAGTAACGAGAACCTGCAATACAGCCAAGCGATTTTATCACTTGCTTTGGTGATCGGATAGGAAGTGGTACATGTACTTTCTTAGTGTGACTGTTTTCAACGGTGTCACATCTCCTTGAGTATTCTCTTACTGTTGCGTTATAAAGGAGAAACTTGTAATGACCTATGGATTAAAAACTCAGTTCACTGGCGCCAATGGTACCATGTCATGGGCTCAAGTCAAATCTCATTCTAATTCTACCAAACAGTCATAAAAACAGCAGAGTGACAGCAATTTTTAAAAAGAAACAACATTTTTCATTTTACAAAACGTGTTTCGACATTCCTCTGTCATATTCAGTTGCAATTATGTTGCAATGACGGTTGTACATTATTTTGAATTTTTACTGTATACATGATTACATTATACAGTATGCCATAAAATTTAGGTTAACAATTTGAATATTGGAATACACTGGGAACAAAGGCTGTGTGCACACCAACAGTAGTTGAAACAAAAACATAAAATTAAATAAAATAAAAAATGAAAAAGAAAATTCAAATGTACAGCCGTCGAACATTTGCAACTGAAGATGGCATAGGAATGTCGAAGCATGTTTTGTAAAATGAAAAATTTTGTTTCCTTTTTAAAAATTCTAATTCTGTTTTTTATTAGTGGATTGTGATGATTGTTTTACCAGTGACTGATCACAGATTGGCTTTGTTATGGGTTTCCAATGCAGTATAGGGGGATAAGTTTGAGTGTTCTTGTTTTGCTTGTTTTCTTTCGTAAAGATACAATGTAATGGAATCGGTTTAAAATATGTTCTTTGAATACTAGATATGTTAGTCAGTGTTGACGATTTCAAGTTTTACATTGTACTAACAATGTATTTTAGTGCCAGTCTTTAGCATTATTTTGCTCTGGCTGCTGTACATACACACATACATGACTGTATTTGTATCTCTCGGTTACTACACAAGCTTTGATTGGTCAATTTAGCAGGTTGTAAATTCAACTGTATGGCCCTCTACAATTTAAAGCCATTTTTGTTGCCAAAAATGTTTGTGATTTATCACTAACTGTTGTTAAGTAAATTATGGCAGCCAAAAGTTTAAGACTTCACCTTTACTTTGGTATAAAACCACACTGACATCGCACAACAATTTTGAATCGAGTTGTTTTGGTTTTCATGTACATTCATCAGTCATGTCAAGCCCTTCCACATGAATAGAAATTGTTTCTCAAACCCATCAGACACGCTCAAAATTAGAGACATAATAAATATTCTACTAACCTCCTATTTGTGGTGTGTTCTGTAAGATAAAGATCTTAAAGATTTGTCTTTTTTTTGTTTTTTGTTTTGTTTTTTTTTTGTTTTTGGTGTGTCCCCTTGCATTTAGTGCTTGGGCCATAAATCAAAGGGGGAAAATCTTGGTCCATAACTTACAGTGCAGACCTTAAACTCTATTAGTAAGAGATATGTGCCTTTTAAAAGTTCCGTTACATGTATTAGGCAGCACATGGCTGATGTGGACCTTTACAAATTACAAAATAGCAAAATGTTCTTGCAATAATATTTAGTTGAGAAAATACTTCAATATTTCAATGTCTCTCCTTGAATGGGCATGTACAGTACTTTAATATGGGTTATGTTATGCCCTGTATCATGTTATGCTGAGTAACATGTGAAATTCCTTTTAAAATCTGATGATCGGGGCAATTGTCTATAGATGCAGTTGTACACATGTGTTCAGCCAGTGAGGTGAATTAAGTGTACATATGTTTCCTGTTACTTTTAGGACAAGCAAGAACTTCTACAAGTGAAGGCCTTAGCACCGGACATGGCTGTGTTCTTTGTGAAATGTAGCAGAAATCCTCCTGTGGAGCTTACAGATTCCATGACTGAATCAGGTCGTAATGATGCCATCCAGGCCATGGACCAGGGAATCGTTAATGGGGAGCCAAAGGTGAAAGTTCAAACAAAGACAAATGTTTCTAAAACAAGACTGTTCGAGCAACTCTGTGAGTTAAAATACCTGTCCTTGGAGGAAGACAGTTGTGAAACACTAGATGACAACAGCCAACGAACAAACAATTCCATCTTGATGGCCACACGACCAAAGTCAAATCTGATAGAGGACTTTGCCCTTTTTCCTTGTTTTCTGCTCTTTGTGCGACAAGTGCTTCAGTACAATGTGGTTTCAGCTGCAACCGTGCTGAATGAAGCTCATGTGAGAGTGCTGGGCATGTTCATTACAACAGCATTTGACATGGCACGGGACATGGTAATTACCCCACGGAGACTTGACTATGCCAGAGAAAAAGAAGAGGATCTGTATAAAGCCCTGATGGAAAGTGCAAGTCGTAAGCAGGAGGAAATCAAAGACCTTATACACTCAACAATATCCACCCTGTCACCAGAAATTTTGAAAGAAGTGGAAGATCTGAATTTTGAAGGAATAAAAGTGTCATCTGATGGTGAGCTGGCAAACCCCAAAGATCTGCAATACTGCACCACAGTAATTCAGGAACTTGTTCTTGCAAGAATTAACAATTCTGTCGCACAAGGTTTGATCAGTTCAGTGAAGTATCTCCAAGACAATTTTATTGGAACTCTGAAACGGTGCATTGAAAGTTTAGAAAAGATGGACAGAGAAGGAGTGTATGAAAATGGGGAGTCGGCGACGTCGTCACTGAGACACGTGAGTACACAATACATGTACTGTTAAGTGGGCATTCAGCTATAGTTTATATGCACATGTACTTTACAGTGTACATATAGTTTGAGTACCCAGAGAACTAGTTCAGTCTGCAAAAAAATGAATGACAAGTCAATTTTACTGACTGTTTGTCGATGTTCAATTCAAAATTAATTGTATTCCTTTATTATAAATTCACCATAAGATCTGATCTCTTTACTTTATTTAGTGCCACACACCAGGGCTGTTACTCTTGATCTTCACACCCATGACAAACTTGTTAAGTTGGCCAGTAACATCAAGGGCCCACCATGCATGTACTCAGCTGTAACAGGAGTTATGGGTTCTATGCCTAATTGTCGGCTATGAGTTGTTGGTTGGGAGAATTTATTTTTTAATCTACAAATTATTATTACTTGGTACATTTTAGTGACTATTTCTTTAACATTGCTAGGAGCTAAGATATACACTCATTTTCAAGGGTTAAGATGGCTTATTCTTTTCTTATCTCTGGAAGTGATATCAACAGATTTCTCTTGGATGCCACAGTACATTCCTGTGAAGGCTTCACATACATGTACAATAATTATTATACATGTACCGGCAGCTTTCTTGTCGGGTCACCCAGAGAGGCACTTGGGAAGTGAAGTGAATAATCCCAGTAAGGTAGCATTGAGCCACTGCACTTATCAGTGGAGACTTGCCACAAAATATATTACAACACAGTCAAAGTAGGTTCCTTTTAACATCTTTCTTAATTGCCAACAGGTGCTGGACTCAGCGTACCAAATTGAGGTTACGGTGAGAGCAAGTTCATCCCTGGCTCGACTTTTGTGGGAGAAGATGAAGCAAGCCCTTCAAACTCTTCCTGGTCAAGCCCCACCCAAGGTAGACGGTGCCTGGAAAAGGAAAGTAGCCCAAGATATGCTGACTAGTCTCAGTGAAACACGGCTGGCAAGGCACATCTGCTCACAGTTCAGAACCAGACTCCAAAAATCCCACGAGGCATTTGCCACATCATTACGAATCCTTGAAGCACATCACTGTGGGAGACTTGAAAGGACCGAGGAGAAACGTATGAGAGTGCGCAAATGCCATGCTCCCAAGATTGCGCGACTTGCTCTGGAGAGCACCTCACTGAGAGATGTGGTGGTGTATGGAATGCCGCAGATGGGTCGGGAAGTCGGGAGGGGACAGTACGGAGTTGTGTATTCATGTGAACGTTATGCAGGGCATCAGCCGTGTGCTATCAAGTCTGTGGTCCCCCCTGATGATAAACACTGGAATGATTTGGCTTTGGAATTTTTCTACACAAGGTACTGTTTATTTACATTGTATCTCGACATGTGCTATAATCCTTTGTTGTATGTATTCCTTGGAACAGTTACTTTGATTGACTAATAAGGCCCTTACCATTGAAGTGTTGGTAAGAGGCTGGTAAGGAAGGGAATACACAGAGATTCAGATCTTTGAACCCCCGCCATGTGAAGGCCAATTGAAATTTAAAGCTCTTACAATATGATCCGCTGGAAACCCAACTGTTTCATCACATTTGCCAGCTCTTTCTGTTTAAATCAAATCCTAAGTTTTATTTCCTTTTTCTTTCCTCAGATCCATACCAAAGCACAACCGCATCGTGTCCATCATAGGCTCAGTGATTGACTATAGTTACGGCGGAGGGAGTTCCCCAGCAGTCCTGTTGGTCATGGACAGACTGCAGCGCGACCTGTACCAAGGAATCAAGACTGGACTCAACAACAGAGGCAGGCTGTTAGTCGCTCTTGATGTGGTGGAGGGTATCCGGTTTCTGCACAGCCAGGGTCTGGTGCACCGCGACATCAAGCTGAAGAACGTGCTGGTGGGTAGGCTGAAATAAATGTAACTTAAACGAGCTACGTCACAGTTTGCGCATCTTGAAAAGTTCAGCATAAACTTTTCAAGTTCGTCGTTTGTAATCCGTGTTAATCTTCTCCATCCTTAACCATTCTTGCTCCTTTATGGTTCATTATTGTCTCTGTGGTATTTTTCTACCTTAGTAAACTACTATTTTCAGGTTTCCTTCAATGTAAAGGTAATTTTTTACGTGGCCAAAATAACTCAAAATGCCATGACTGAGCTCCTTTAATGGCCGAATCACGCGACGATGAGAGTCAAAAGTGTTCGTAAAGGATTTTCTTTCTAAAGTTGTTTTCACCTCTCGTTGATTTTCATCACTGAATGGTCAGACGGGTTACTGTGTAAGACGTACAGTTTTACAGGAGTTTAAACTCCGCTCATCTCCTCTCGACTTTTTCTGACGTTTGATCTTACATGTAGCTATCAGTGATCGTCCCTCGCTGTAAATCCAGTTGGCGCGGGTCCACGAATAGAATAATAAGCCTTGATCATCATACAGATTTCGCAATATATTGCGTTTGGGAAGACTTAATGTCTTCTTGGGATGTTGAATCGGTGGTGGAAATATATCTCAATGCTAAAACAAACTACCTGGAGTTCTCTTATGATGAGAATTCTCGTCGGTTGAAGAATTGCACAACATACGCTGTCCAAGTGTCTCGACAAAACCAATTTGAGAAGGATAATTTAGAAAGTGCAGTTCTCAAAAAGCAGAGCCTAGGTACGGTACACAGTACTAAGGTTTCCTTTTTTCGATTTTAGCTGGATGCCAAGAACCGAGGTAAAATAACCGACTTGGGATTCTGCAAGCCAGAGGCCATGATGTCAGGTTCCATCGTGGGCACACCCATCCACATGGCCCCAGAACTGTTTTCCGGTCGCTATGACAACAGCGTGGATGTGTACGCTTTCGGAATCCTCTTCTGGTACATCTGCGCGGGAACGGTTCGGCTTCCCTTGGCATTCGAACAATGTGCAAGTAAAGACCACCTGTGGTCGGCTGTTCGGCGGGGCGTCCGACCCGAGCGCTTGGCGAACTTTGACGACGAATGTTGGACGCTGATGGAGGCTTGTTGGTGCGGGGACCCGAGCGGCCGACCGCTTCTCGGAGCCATTCAACCGAGGCTGATTGAGATCATTAAACGAGTGGAGAACCGGCGCGGAGCTCCGGTCAAGCAGCGACGGGAAACTAGACCATTCAAAGAACTAGAAATGTTGCTTTAGCGAATAAGACTATCGAGGAGATTGAGACTAAATTGAGAGTGAGACAGACTAAATCAGACAAGGTACCTTTCATCCATTGTAGAGCGGCCCTGCCTGTTACGGACCAGCGAAGAAACTCGTGTAGTCGCGCTTAGTTAAGGGAACTCGTAAATTATCAAAGGCAAATTGACCATAAAGCTTGTCCATTATGTAGTCATTACGCCTGGACCTTTCGAATATGTAAATATTTCAAATACCCGGCGTTTTATTAGAAAGAAACAATAGCATAAAAATAATATTTTCAAGGGGTGAATGACAACCGCGTGTATTGCATTTTCTTATTTGTATCTTCGTTTAAAACAAGAAAACAAAACCGAACACAAAAAAATCATAAATAAATTGAAAATATACATTTGATGATGGCTTATAAATTCATAACCATTTCTTCCAAGATGTAAGTAGGGAAACAATAAAAAATGCATTGTATATAGTTTGTGGTTATTAAATTATTTTTCGCTACTCGTTGGTTGTGTCACTTTGCTTAGTACATGGGAAGTGGAATCCCGGTTGGGGGAAGTGGGAGTGGGTACTCCCAGAAGAATTGTGTGGGGCGTGCGGCCCGCTTTCCAAAACCCTTGCCCTATTTTGTGCTCTAATCTCCCCAAGTACAATTTCAAGAATAAAATTAGCCAAAATGAAATATGTGCTGAGCTCATGTTCATGAAGGCAATACAAAACAGAGCATGGAGTAAAATGGCTACGTGAAAATTATTACACATAGCCGGTTTATTAAACTCGGAAAAAACCAAGTGAAAATATCAATACAAGTTATCATTAAATATGTATTGCCTGCGAAGGTGAGGGCAATGAAACCGCTACAACACTAATATCATCACTGTACTAGAAAGAGGCAGGAGTTGAGGAGGAGGCGGGTCGGTAGCAGGTTTGTGTGTCAACGAAATCACAAACACGGCATCCATTATACGAAGATTCGTGAATGCGACATTTGCCCACTTCATTGCAGACTCAAAACTCAAAAACATTATCCTCGGTACCAAGCTCCTAACCTCTCCTTGTGCAATGGGTAAAATCATTTTATCTGTGAGCAAATAATGTGTTTTAAGACCAAAATCTGCGATTTCCCCAACATTGTTTATGACCTGACCAAAAATTCGATGCCCTATTTCGGATCAAAACGACCATACCCTTTAAGCTGGACATAAGGGAGTACCTCCCCGCCCCCACCCCGCTCCCTCACCGGTTGCGAAATGACAAAAGCCGAACAATCAAACTGCCTCGCGAAGCGCGACAACTGGGCACTTAGCTCAGTAACCAGGCTCCCAACTCATAGGTACAATACGAACACAATTTTCTATGGACTGACATGTTTCTTGTTCCTCAGATACTCGTACAGTGTTTTAGAACAGTCTCTAGAAAGCATGAAAAAACCTTTTGGAAAGTATTGCCCGTGCTAAACATTGGGAACACTTTCAGAAATATCTGAAAGTTTCTGCTTATTAACCAATCAATGTATATGAAAGTGCACTAATTTTGTCACAGTAACCAGAAAATAAGCGAATCATTCGAAAGCTTCAAAAGTATGTAAAAACGTTCCAGTCTCTCTTTTTTGAAGAGCTAAAAATACCATGGGTTCTCGCCTTCTAAATATAGCTTACAGCCTTCTGTCGTAGATGTACATGTTTTCTCAAACGTTTTTTATCAGACTGAATTATTTGGTGGCTAAATATTGACCTTTGTGCCGTTTTATGTGGTGTTTTGGTCAAATGCTTTTCTCCTAAAATTTCAGTTTCTTTGTGTGAAACTTTTTCATTTCAAGCGACGCGAAGAACTAATTGTAAAGGAGCTGTGATGCACCATCTATAATGCGGGGTAAATGGCTTTTCATTATTTGATTATGCCTTGACAGCGAGAAATAGGACGTTTCAACGCTGAGTGCTGTAAGGTTTGCATTGTTTCGTTCCCTCTGATGTTGAGAATCGTGTTAGTGACTTTTAGTATACCCCTATTGGAGGGATGTAATTTTATGCCAGCTAAAGATGTTTTGTTAATGTTTTTAAGAGGGTCTTATACTCTCAGATATAAATTTTTCTCCAGAAAACCATTTTTTTGGAACATGAAGATTCAACATCCCTGTCCATTTTTAAATCGTATTTTGAAACGATTTTCCTCTAATTACTCCTGAATTTACGTTTAAATTAAGAAATCTGAACA